CCCCCCAATATTCCCTATCCCTGAATCCCCAACATTCCTCAAATTCCTAATCCCCAAAAGGCTGGGAATGCACTTTGCATGGGCGACGCTATTGCTTACCATCAGCTGTTCGTCTGCTCGTCTACTGATATATCCAATAAATAAAAGAAATAAATTATTAAATGAGGTGCCTCTGGACTCCAACCTACTCTATAATTATTATTGTGAATGAACTACAAGCACCATGAACATATTAATATAACGCTCCCGCGTCCGCTACCTCTTATCACGTAAGTAGCATACCGTTTGGACCACACGCACAGCACCATCGCACAGTCAGCTTGCACGCTTTTATCGTCTTTGTGGTAAAGGCGCCCATATCTTAAGGTTAGGCCTCTAGAAACGCGACATGTTGAGGATTATTATACGTTTGTTTTATAATAGAGCTTCGTACCTGTTTGTGTCTCAAGCTTAGACGTTTCGAACAATGTACTTAGTTATTTTTTATGTGAGGAGTTTCTGTTTTGGTATCGGTGTGTTTTATTTTTGTAGGATGTTTTTCGGAGTTAGTCGTATTCGTATAGATCGACCGCGGAGGATTTAACGGGTTGCCGGGGCTCCGGCTCGAAGGGCAGGAGTAGGAACGGGATGATTTTTAGTCAGTAAGAGTCTGACGCTCTCGCCTCACCCAGACCTGAGAAGTCATTAGAAGAAATCCTTTTAGATCAAGTGTTCTGTAGGTGAAGGTAAGATTGATAATTTAAAACATGTTTATTAAAAAGATATTGGCTGCACGGTTGACGCTGTGGCTGGGCAATTGACTGCCGCGCAACGTGCAGCAGGTTCGGTTCCCGCACAGAGTAACTCTATGTGTGATACGCAAATTGTTGTTTCGGGTCTGGGTGTCATTTTTGTATGTTTGTAAATGCGTCCACGACACAGGAGAAAATACTAAAGTGCTTAACGTTTTTTTAAAAGATATTATTATTGTCAAACGAGTATTAAGAAATAATTTGGAGCTCTTTATAGGTGCTATGTTTTTCCACGAGTTACTTATAGTATGCGGTATAATTCACTTACAGAATAATAATAATAATAACAATTTTCTACTAAAAGCTGAGAACGGAGAAATATCCATATTTATTCTAGCCGCTATTATGTCTTTTTAAATAAAAATTCGCGGTCTTCATGGCCCATTTTCAGATCTGTTGCATCAAACATTTCCGGGTAGCGTTTACGGCTTAGTAAATGTTCTGTAGTACATTTGTTTACCACACAAAAAGCTGATTTTTCTACTGAGAACTTCAGTGGAAAGTGCTTTTATTCAGGTAAGTAAAACCTGAATCGTTGCTAGCTTTGTTTTGACTTAAATTTTCTGATATGGTTTATCTTAAAAGGTGTAATAAACTTATGTTCAAATACTCAAAGTATATTCAATTTTAAAACACATTTAGTATAGTTCTGTCTCTACAAATTCTTTGTGAAATGACAGTGATGGCACGATATTTATATTTAACTTTCAGAATTCGGGCGTTATTCAACAAAAACTCCTTGGTATGTACGATCTAATTATCCACTCATATTAAGGGATTAGCTAGTCAAGTGGTACGATAATTATTATAGTACCGTTGAGACGCTGTATTAAGATAATATTATTGTTATTTAGCAGCATTATATAATTATACGTTATTATAATAATAATTGTATATAATCTTCCTTATTATATAATATAGGTATATGCTATACAGTTATAAGCATTATAAAATATGGATTAGTCTATTACTATGTAGGTTTATCTCGTAATTTTATATCGATTTAAGTAAAAAGTACCGACAAAGGTCAGAAATTCCAACGGTACATAGAATTTCTAAACACTTTTTGCCACCCGTCAGCATAGTTTATCCGCATTCCACGTTCCTAGGTTCCACTAAAAAGATTAGCACGGAGTCGCCCTCTATTTTCGTCGGAGGTAATAAAAAATCCTAAAGGTTCAGTTGTCAGTCGTCACGCAGAGATACCAAATGTGATTATAGCCAATCCGAGGTCGCGTGGCGCGCTGCGGCACATGTGATTGGCTGACCTAACGTCTGACTTGAGCCTTGACTTGCAGTTGGACCATACCTGTAATTCAATAATAGAATCTTCTAACGTGGTGAACAATAATTGTATTGAAGATTGAGATAAACTTTTAGAAGTATTTTTAAAGCAAAGGTTTAGAAAGTCAGATTAATACTAGTTGTTTAAAATAGTGTTCCAAAATGGCTATGTAATTTAATTACCTTTGAGCTTCGAGGAGTCTCATGCAACTCGAATACTCTTAACAACATAATTGTAATTATTAATTCAATTAAGCATATTAAGCTAAACTTCATTTCGAAAACTAAAAGACTTATAAGATTATATTTGAAATAAGAAATATCTCTAGCCTACGCTTAGCAAGTTCTAGTCTGTTCTGTCATCACGTAATGTGATATCATCATGGAAGTTCAATGCTGAACAGGAACTCGGCCTATGTTACATAATGACTTTCAGATAGGTCGATTGGACGTGACTTGCATCCAGGAGGTCCTATAGTATTACATACCGAGCGTACGGCGCGTCCCGTTCCGCGCGCGCCTCAAAGAGCCATCAGACCACCACAGATGGGGCCCAACAGGGCTGATGCCGATTCGGAGTCGCGGAAAACGTAACGGGTTACCGGGGCTCCGGTTCGACGTGCAAGAGAAGGAACGGGGTGATTTTTAGTCAGTAAGAGTCTGACACTCCCTCCCGCCTCACACAGGCGGGAGCAGCCATTCGATGATTTTCCCCCCTTAAATAATACTATTACATAAGCATGTAATATATTATATAGAAACAAATACATACATCAATTTTACAACATAACGAATATTAAAAATTTCAACAAAAATCATTTATAAAAAATGCTTGAAATCTTATAATCCAAACCAACCCAAAACTCGGTAAATACAAAATCTAACGCGTGAGATTGAAATTCAAATGACGTCACTCCCTAACTGGGTACATACGGAAGGGCCCTCAATTAAATCTGTCATGTACTTTTGATCCCCTTCTAATTACTGTGACGCGTTCATTAGATTTTACATTTTAAACTGTATGAGCACACAAAGGTGTTACAAAATAAGATTTGTGAAGGATCAAAGTTGAAAGATGGAGGGTAAGTTTGTTATTGATGTTTATAATGATAAGTTTAGGTGACTAGTGATGTGACTAGTACACACCAGTGATAGGACAGGGCGAGGTTTATGTTTTCAAAATCATCATCCTTAGTGGGACTACTAGGTATCATCATCATATCAATAGTCTATAAGTGGCCATTGCTGACCAAACGCCTCTTCTCACACGGAGAAGTTTGAGCATTAATCGCCATGCTCGCTCAATGCGGGTTGGCGATTTCAAATTTTTATTAGAAATTATATGTCCGGAACCTGGACATATAATTTCTCTCTATGTTTTCCTCCAATGTTTGTCAGTGGTGTCTAAATAATCTTAGAAATTACATATAACTCGGAAAATGTCACATGGTACTTGCTGTTGGTAGATTTTGAATTCGCAAGCGGGCGTCTTAGGCCTTCGAGCAAACACGACTATACTACTAGGTATAAATAGGTTTAATAAATAACTGAAAATCGCGGGTTACTCACGTGAATATGCTGAGAAAAGCTCTACTAGTTTCGAACCATAGAGGGATTCTTTCTCATGAGCAGCGTGCGCGGTCACGGGGATGTTGCGCAGCCAGTAGCTAGCGGTGGCGCTCGCATCGGCGATTTTTAGTTAATTTAGTATGTCACGATAGTTATTATAAAAAAATTGGTTGAATTAAATTAAAAAAATATTTATTACAGAGCTGCTTCTAAAGATTTTCAAACATGGTCAGGGTCAAACAATGAAATCCATTTTAACAGTTATTAATTAGCATGCAGTGGAAAAGCAGTTATGAAATTGTTTTAAAATGAAATAAATTAATACTTATTTCCATTCAATTAAATAAATACATGCCCACTTTTTCTGATACCTCTAGAGAGTGAAAAAGGGTTATACAACGTTGTTAGTAGCAACATAATAAAGTTACTGGGACAAACATTAAAATAAACAAACACATAATGTTGTGAAGGTCGATTTAATTTGCTTAGATCAAATAAATGTGAGGTAACGTATGAAATGTAAATAAAACCAGTACTTAATTAGTAGGTGGTGTAATTCTTGGCACAACGTAGGTATAATCCAAGCTTTAAGGCTTCAAGGATTTTGAATTAAGGTATATATTATATTAATTTTATAAATGTGTGGTCGCGACCTCATTGTTTGTAAGTAAGCTTAATCATTGTGTTTTCTTTATATTTGTAAATGTCTAAAATACGACTTTAGAAAATTGTCCCAATTATATCTATTAAACTGTCAAAAAACCAAGCGGTCACCGGTGACCGCAACCTATTGTTCTATAATTGTGTCTATAATGACGGTACTTGACGAGTTAAATAACATTTATTGATTAATTTATTGTCCATAAAAACAACATTAGTATTCTAAAAAATGTTTTTTATAAACATAGTTTTCAAATAGTTCTCTTCAGTATTTTATTGCTCGATATATTAACTACTCTCTGTCCAGAAGACAAATAAAAGCATATCCTATACGTAGTGCGTAGTATCCCATGACTCTATTTCTTAGTTGCGCTCGCCTCAACAATGTCCGAGAGTTCGTAGCCGGCCGCTATAACTCACCGTCCCACCAAACAACCCCACTGAATCAACTTTAAACTAATTTATTAACATCGAAGACGTTGTTATTAACACCATTGAGTGGCTCAACAAACAGTTACTGGCGAAGGAACACAGGCTTCTAACGTCATTATTTAGTTCAATTTGCCGAATTAGCTTGATAAATGTGTTTGAATTAGCGTTTTCGTAGACCGATGCGCGCGCCGTAGCCTCGTAGCCACAGCTACAGTGCTACGAGCTCAGTGTAACCGCGCCGGTTGAGATTACCGCTACGCCGCTACGTTCGCGCCGCGGTCTGATTCAATCGTTTACGTATTAAAGAACCTTCGAATGATTTGTGACGACTATTTGTGATTCGTTCTTGTGTGGTTTGTGTTGTGATAATTGTGACTGTGAGTTTTCTACGAGGTAAGTTAGATAATAGATTTTGTGTGAAAAATTGTATGATTATATTTTTTTATTTCCTTCGTGATCTTGGATTTTATTTCCGTCGTGTTTATTTTAATAAATTGATCGGTGTTTCGTTTCAGTAGCAATCGTTCGGCGAATTTAAAAGTATAATTTTACGAACTGCGATTTTATTAAATTTTCCTCGTTCCGGTAAATATTAAAATTGAGGAAAAATGTGATGAAGATATTATTTTGAAAATGATTATATTTGAATTAATTCAGAAAATAAAAGATATTGGAGGACTATCTAAAAGACCAGTCGAAGTACATGTAACAAGAAAAAATATGATTCTCATATCTGTTCTGTATCTGTATGATTACCTGTTTATATAATCATATAAAATATACAATTATCAGTCAGTCTCATCTCATTTATAAACATTTTTTATGTTATTTACAAACTGACACATCCGCGTATAAATATATCATAAATAATAATAGACACACAATTAGACATCTTCCGTAATTGAATCCGGGGAATCCCCCGGGGGATTACAAGTCCTCCGTTAGGAACCAATAATAAAATTGATATCGAAGAGGATTATTGAGAAATTACTTTGTAACTCATTATTTTTTTTCTCTCAATAAACTTCTAAGTCTTCGATATTGTATTTTGTATTGGAGATTACGGATTTTCGCTTCTGTTATGAATGGAGATATATTTTTAATTTGTCAAAATGATTGATGATCCTTACTTAATATTATAAACGTTTTCATATTTGTGTTTTTGAACATTTTTCACGTGGCAATGGAAATTCTCCTAGTTTTATGGTATAACTTTTGTTTTTTAATATAATTGCCTAATTAGGCTCCTGTAGAGTGATACAAGTAAAGATGGGTGGTTCTAGAAATATAATAACCATTCCGCAGATATAACTAAAATATTTTATAGTAAGTAGTATCTAGCAACTGCCAAAAATATATCTGAGATAGATGAGTTTGCAAAAATTGTTTAGGTACTCAAGAGATCTTGGCGAAACTAAAAGCATTAGGAATTGTATTATGATTATTGTATAAGTCGAAAAATATACCATTTAATACTAACTGTTACACGTGGCTTCGCCTGCGTGTAAAAAACAGTATCTTTTAATCTATCTCCAGATATAGATAGAGTAATCTCCAGACACTAAAATTGATTCATTGATTGAAAAAAGACAGTTCCACATTTAAGAAATCCTATTCATCATTATTATCAACAGCCTTTATGTGGCTACTGCTGACCAGAGGCCTCTTCTCACACGGGAAGGGTGATATTCTATTAGTAAGGGTGATATTCTATTAGTAAGGCTTAAACATCATAACATTACGCCATTTATCCCCGAAGGGGTAGGCTGAGGTGCACACAGAAGTAACACCCACTTTTAAATATATATATATAGGCTATACGATATATAGCAATAGGCTCACCCCCTATTACATGGGACTCATAACGTAAATAGTGAAAAGTGGGTGTTACATTGTACAGTGGTATAATGTATACCTCTGTCTCTGCCTACCCCTTCGGGGATAAAAGGCGTAATGTTATGTTATTGTATTAGTAGACATATGTATATAATTTTTATTTTTGTCATTAAATTTTTTACCTTATTATTTATCTAAATGGTGAGTATGTTCTAAGTTCTCTCCTTCCAGAAGCAATGTTAAAACACATATTTTTGGAAATGCTATAGATAAATATACTGAGAAATATCAAATTGTCAAGAACTTACACTTTACTCGATCTGAAAACCAAATCCAAGAAATACGTGAAATAATAACTAAAATTATTATGTAGTTTCTGCACTTCCGAAAGGATGACTGAGAATGCTGTTAGCATTAAGTCTTCCTTATGTAACTGAATAGATTAATAACCTTATGTGATTATACAGGGTAACTTCACCTGTTCGTGTCCATTTTACGAATCGCCATGAATGTAAGATACTGAAAACGTGTAAGATCAAACAGATGTGCACTAATTGGTATTAATATGGTGGTAGTTTTCTTATTTTGGGGAATGGACGCGAACTGATGGGTGGACGCGAACAGGCAAACTTATCCTAGAACAATGAGACTCGGAAGCTCGAAGAGCAGTAGGAACGGGGTGGTTTTTTATCAGTAAGAGTCCGACACTCCCTCCATTTGATGATTTTCCCACTTTAAAAAAACCTTAAGAAAATAAATAAATGAATAAAATTATTTGAAATATTTTATTCATTTATTTATTATTATGAAATATTTCAAATAATTTTTACTGAATTGTGAAATAAATAAGTAAGACTGCCTCAGGTTACATTTTCGGGGTGTCTGAAGTATTTGGGGACTTTTTAACATAACATAACAAAACATCACGCCTTTTATCCCCGATGGGGTAGGTAGAGGTGTACACATAAGTAACACTCACTTTTCACTATTTATGTTATAAGTCCCATGTAATAGGGGGTGAGCCTATTGCCATTACTGGGCAAAATTCCAGACTCCGTGCTACTACTGAGAATTTTTAAAAAAGTCAGTCGTACTTTGCCAGACCCGGGAATCGAACACGAGACCCCTTGCCCGGCAGTCGCACTTGCGACCACTCGGCCTACGAGGCAGTATTACATGAACTACTTTTTATCTAATGGGATCGCGGGCGATGCCAGTGATAGAAGCTAGTATCAAATAAGTAAAAAGTAAGTATGTATGTATGTACATGAAGTTAAACGTGTATTTATGTTTTTCATTGGCTTCAAGCGCCTGTGAGAGTCCTTTGAAGTCGTCGACTGCTATTTATGTAAATACAACAAAATAAAACTGACTTCGGCAAATAAGCAAGTAAATAAAAACTTTCTATTAAACAAAAATATGATGGAATTGCCTTGGAAAAGGGAAGCGCCTTCGTTTTCTATGGGATATGGTAATAGCGAAATCTTGTTGCTGTGCACCGATTTAATAAATAGACTGCGTCGTTGGCCGAGTGGTCGCAAGTGCGACTATACGACATTAAAAATATATGGTGCCTCTAGTTCGATCCTCGAGTCAGGGATCCCACTATTACATGGGAAAAGTCATTCCCATGTAATAGCCGTTTCTATTGCCATATACCACTATTCCAGACTCCGTGCTATTACTGAGATTTTTATAAAAAAAACCCAGTAGTACTTTGTTCGACCCGGGAATCGAAACCGAGACCCCATTGATTTTTAGTTGTAATGAAAGATTTAAACTGTCAAGCACAAAGCAGTCACCGGTGACCGCAACCTATTGTTCTATATAATTGTGTCTATAATGACGGTACTCGACGAGGTTTTTTTTAATTAGGTATGTCATCGTCTCTTTGACATAAGTGAATGTAAATGTTGGTTGGGGATCTAGGACTATCAGTGGTAAAACTGATGAGCTACATTTGACAGAGATCGAACAACAGCGCTCTCTATTAAGCCTTAACTTTTAAACTGTGATCTCTAAACCTCCAACTGTACTTGGAAAGTGTGGAGATTATAGAAAACCCTTTCTACGTAGAAGAGACCCACCTGTCTTGCAGTGGGATGGCGTAAATAGTTAATGCTAGGAATGAATTGATTGACTAAGGATTGAGATCTGTCTAACTTTGCAGTCGCCTTTTAACAACTAGTCAATGGAGGCAATCAAAAAGAGAATAAATATAATTTATATTTCACATTTACTTCTACGAATTTTAATATTATAAGTTTGTACATAAATTTCTGAAATAAACTATTAATTTCATTTTCTTTATCAATCGAAACTATCATTTTATTTGACAGCCGTCAAATTAATATTTCGTATAATTAATTAATTACGAAGAATTCAAAATATTCTGTTTAGTTGTCGTAAAATTTTAATATCTAAAGTTTTGGTTAAGTTCTCATTGATATGATAGATTATTGCGTCTTCGTTTTTATAGTCACAAATCCGGTGATGATGGATGACCTCATCATATCTTCGAGCAAAATACATATAATCTCGTAACATCGTTAAACGTTAAACTAAGTACTTTGACGTACGATTGGTGCGCTGGCTGGGCAATGCGTCGCGGGTTCGATTTCCGCGCGGAGCAATCCAGAAATTATTGTTCCGGGTCTGGGTCTCATGTGTAAATGAACTGGTAAGCGCACCCACTATACAGGAGAATATCCTAGTGTGGGGCAACGTATTATGAAAATAAATGACCGTTTTACAAATGGAAACTTGTAATTAGCAAGTCTCGCCAATCCTCGAATTTTCCATAATCCTCAAATTTCCAATTCCCAAAAGGCTGGTAACGCACTTGTAACGCCTTAGTGTTCCAGGTGTCCATGGGTGACGCCGATTGCTTACCATCAGGTGATCCGACTGTACGTTTACCGGCTTATCCCATAAAAAAAAATTACCCCTTTGAGTACCGTCATTATAAACACAATTAAAAAACAATAGGTTGCGGTCACCGGTGACCTTGCGGTATTTGACAATTTAAATGATGTAAAGGATGATGGCGGACTATATTAGTCACATTTCTGTCGACACTATCACACAAAACACCGTGATGTTTATCTAAAACAGTAACCTACAGAGTCTGTTTCCAAAGTTGTTACAGTAAATTCCATATTTCCTTCAGGCAAGCTAATTATGTCTGTGTTAGCTGAGGTAGGTATACCACAATAGCTTAAGTTCTTACTAAATACTTTAACCAAACTATTACGCTACGTAATTCCTTGGAAGTTACTTTGTGTTAAAAACATTAAGTATTATTATACATACTATAAATGCTTAGTTTTATAAGACTTTAAATGTGGGACAGCCATGCTTCGGCATGAATGAGCCCGCTCGACCGGAGTTATACCACGGCCTCACAGGATATCGACGTGAAACTACGCTTGTGTAGTGTTTCGTCGTTTGAGTGACTTTCCCAATCTCCCCAATCCCCAAAAATCCTCAAATTCGTAATCCCCAAAAGGCCGGTAACGCACTTATAACGCCACTGGTGTTCCAGGTGTCCTTGGGTG